GCTTCAATTCTAATGCCCCAATAAATGGGTTCATGAATGGGTCTGGGCTGCCTCCAGCAGCTGGCCGTTTGGTTTTTGGAAGAAGCCAAATGAATGGGCCAGCAAATGCCTTGGTGAATGGGTGCACCCAGGCCAAACATTTTCTAATGCCCAATTTTTTGCTGGGTAGTTCCAGTTTAAATTGTGAGAGGTCTAACCATCAGTGCTTAGAGGTCATGCAAAAGTGACATCTATGCATAGTCATAACAGAGGATTGACTCCTACTTTGCTCATATAGATGTTGCATATGCATGAAGTAAAAGTGGTACAGTTTCTATATGTCATTCAGAATGGAGAGCATCTAGCTGATTTAAATAGGAAGATCTTCAGAAGAAACTTCAGGTGTTTTAAAGTATTTTTCTTTGAATTTCTTAAAATTCAGGCAATTTTTATCATTTTAGCAGTATAGATTTCATTTACAGGAACCAATTAGTGGATTTTACATTGGTCCTCAAGGGAAAACAAATTACTTACCCTACAAATAATGTTCCACCTAGCAAACGCAGTCCTGGAACTGCATGCTTGTGTTTGCTAGGCCAGTCACCAATGTATAGATTTTTAAAAATGCAGTGGCCTAGCCCTAGAGTTTGGCTGACCAAGAGTTCTGCTCTGGCGAGAAGCTACACCACCATTAATCTGCGTTCAAGAGCGTTGCATTTTGCATAGAGCTTACTATTCAGTGCCGTGATTGCTCCTGAAAGTCACTGCAGAATATCTGTTTGTGATAAATGAGCACAAATTAAATCATAAATGAACAGCCGGAAAATGACGCGTTGAATTCTCATATTGTTCAGTTCGAAGTATGTCATTTTCACCCTCATTGACATTTCCTGCATAGAGTTATACAGTACAGTACTGTAATACTAATTGAGAGCGGAAGTCGATGCAGTGAAACGCGCGGAGGTTTTTCTAGTACCGTATAGTACATAATTTATGCTCGAAATATTATAGTTACTCTTGAATTTATTATGAAATAAGGAGATCAGACGAAAGTACTCATCAATGGACAAGCACTTTTCCCCTTCAGCGCTCCCACTTTTCTCACCCGATCATTCCAAGGACGATCAAATACATTACCCTATTCTACCTGCATTATCAGCCGAGTGATAAGTGTTGTCTTCAAGTGAAGTGAGACAAGCAATTAGGTACTACAAGTATGACAGTTGATTGCTAGTGCGTAGATTCGGACTGCGTGCATAGATTCTGACCGCGTGCATATCAGACCATTCTGAATGTGTAGAAAAGCTGCAAATTCTACGATCGGGTTGTGAACCGCTCTTCGTTTAACTCATCATCGAACAAGGTGAAGTCCTCGAAAATCTCGAAATGCTTTCGTTCCAGCGATAAAACAAGATCGAAGCGAAATGCAGGTGTTTCAGTCGGGCGACGAACTTCGCAGTTCTACTGCACTGAATAATAGAGAATGCGTTATTGCATCTGTTCAGCGCGAAGTGGCGGTGTGTTAAGGCCGTTGATTCCCTGAAAGTGACCGATTTGATTTTCAGGCAGTTTTTGATATCCTTTCAAAATTTGTGGGTTAGGAAAATGTTTTCGCCGGATGTTTGGGAGCTCCGGCGGACAACGGCGGGACAGATCGGCGAATCCCAAGGTAAAACTAGTGTAAGAAGACATCTCGAACTTGATTAAATGTGTGTATGTCATATCCATGAAAAGGTATATTTCGACGTTACTGCGGATGGTGAATTCCTGGGGCGTATCGTGATGGAATTGCGAGCGGACGTGGTGCCTAAAACCGCCGAAAATTTCCGAGCACTATGCACGGGAGAGCGAGGTTACGGTTTCGAGCAATCCCGTTTCCACCGCGTTATTCCGAATTTCATGTGCCAAGGGGGAGATTTCACGAATAACGACGGTACTGGAGGTCGCTCCATTTACGGCGAATCGTTCGATGACGAGAACTTCGAGTTGCTTCACAACGAGCCCGGTATCTTATCTATGGCCAATGCTGGGAAGAACACTAACGGGTCGCAGTTCTTTCTGACCACGGTTGACACTCCGTGGCTCGACGGAAAGCACGTTGTGTTTGGGAAGGTAGTCGACGGGTTTGAAGTGGTGAAAAATATCGAGAAATATGGTTCGGAAAGTGGGGCAACCGTCAGAGATATAAGGATTCACAAATGTGGTCAGCTGTAATGATCGCCTTTATTCGTCCGTTAACCCTGTCCCCTATTATGCATCGAAGTATTTTGGAGGTAAATTCTGCGGTTCTTCGCGCACGACTTTCGCTCTGATTTACTTGATTTTCGTAGTAATTACGCGTGGTCGTCCAGTCATCTAGATCAATTTTGCCAAAGGTGGTATGTGGTGTTCGAAAACTGACGAAGCAAGATCAACCGTATCGTTTGACAACGATGTGTTTCCCTGTGAAATACGCCGTGAACTTACCAGTAAAGCTAGAGCATAAGTTTTGCGATTAAAAAATCGATCGTGTCCTTGACCTTGAATACAGCGTCGATTAAATTTACGTCGTTGCTCATTCGTTATGCCCATAGAATTTCAATGTGTTTAAGATTAGTTTCAATCCTCTTTCAAAATGGTGCTATTTACGAAAAACAAGATGTAATTTTCTTAAGATACGTGACATTTGATTGTGGGATTTTCCTGAGCGCTCTGAACGTAATTTCATCTAGCCACTGTTATTAAGAAGGTCTTCAAACTCTGGATTGTTTGCTCATTCATTCTGCCTCTGGAAATTTGCGCGTGTTGAAGTTTAGTTCCAATCTTCTTGCGAAGTGGTGCTACGTACGAAGAGCGTGATGTATTTTTCTCCAGATAGGCACGGAATACCTGATGGCGGGATTTTCCTGAGGGCTTCGAGCGTAGTTTTACCTCGCGAATGTTATTGACAAGCGATCATCGGATTTATGTTTCTGAATTGCTCATTAGTCGAAGGCTTCGGGATGTTATTTTTGTGATGACTGTTATGCGTTTAATCTCGCAGGTGAACGAGTGTATCCCAGGTTCCTTTAGTACTCATAAATAATGAAGAGCAAGTTTTACCGGACGGATCTGAACAAGACAGTATGGGAAGTGCCAGAACGTTACCAAATGTTGTTCCCGGTGGGCTCTGGAGCCTACGGCCAAGTGTGTTCCGCGGTCGACGCTTCGACTAAAAACAAGATCGCGATAAAAAAGTTGGCTCGTCCGTTCCAATCCGCAATCCACGCGAAACGAACTTATCGCGAAGTGAAAATGCTCAAGCACATGCAACACGAGAACGTCATTGGTTTGTTGGACGTGTTCACGCCTGCGGAAACGCTGGACGAGTTTGACGACTTGTACCTCGTCACGCATTTGATGGGCTCCGACTTGAACAATATCATCAAGACGCAGAAGTTGTCGGATGATCATGTGCAATTCCTAGTGTACCAGATTCTTCGCGGGCTCAAGTACATACATTCTGCCGGTATCATTCACCGCGACCTCAAGCCGTCCAACATTGCTGTGAACGAGGACTGCGAGTTGAAAATTCTTGACTTTGGGCTCGCGAGGCATACCGAACAAGAAATGACCGGCTACGTCGCTACACGGTGGGTTAACGTTGGGTCTGTGAAAAGAATAATTAATTGTTACAGTCGAACATCGTCAAGTTGAACTTCAAGCGACTGGCAAAAAAATTTCGACTTGGGGAGACGAAAGTTTTTTTGCTTTGTTTGAGAAGAGAGAGAAGAATTGCAGGAAATTGTGATCGGTGATATTTCGGGCCTTGGATTGCTTCTTGGATGAGTTGTCAGGATGCTGAACTTGGAGGCAAGGGTTTCTTTGCCCCAATTAGTCTTTGACTTTATTTTGAAACTCATCAAGTGGCATTTTTATAGCTTTTCTCTTTCCTTTGTCAATAAAGTAATAGCCAAAAGGCCTCCAGAAAATTTAAGTTATAGAGGTTGGCGGAAAATCTTTGAGTTAAAGAAGTTGTACTGTATATGCATTGGTTTAAATTATGTAAAAAAAATCAATTTAGGGAGGTTTGAGCTATTAAAGTTCAACTGTATTTTCAAGCGTCAAAACCCAAGTGGAGAAAGTGATGCACTCTTGGCTTCAGATGTAATCTAACTGGAAACCCTCCTGGGTACCTCAAGTGAACCAAAGCTTTATTTTCTTTTACACATGTGTATCCCAAAAGTGCACCAAATGTACACAAGCATCATGTACAGGTGCTCTCTCTTTACAACAAAATGCGAGGGACCAGAAAAGTAGTATTTGCAAAGAACCCCTTTAACGTTGTGAGTTTACCCTCTGGGGTTAACTGCCAAAATTGTTACATTGACTAAAATTGTATAGAAAATTGTTGTAGACAAGACCATTGTAGTGAGAGTCCACCTGTATTATCTAATGCTGTGCACCAAATGTAACCCTGGAATGGTAGCAAATTTGTGTCTATGCCAGTGCACACTAGTAACCCTAGACTACCTCATGTGCATCAGTTGTGACACCATTTTACACCAATTGAGTCATTGAAATCCCCACCCAGGAACTGAATAATTGTGATTCATTTCTGTGAATAGTGTTTTTAGATGTGGAATGAGTAGCTAACATATCTAATGTAACCTATAATATGAAGCTGGGTGAAGACATGAATGTTTGAGCGCATAATCAATTAGACTTTTTCAAACTTTGATCATTTTTCTACTTGATAGAGTTATCAAGTACCTTTTGATAAACTTGTATCCTGAAGCTGCGTTTATTCATTTCTTGCATTCTTTTTATTATTACCACGTTTTTATGAACTCACTTTCTTGTCTGTCTGTTTGTCCGGATCAAATTTTGAAACTCAAATTTCACTCACTTCCAGACTAGCTATCAAGCTGAAACTTTCAGGATAGCCTAGAAACTGATGACAATGCAATCTTTTGTGAAAAAATTAACTTTAAGAATATTTTTTAAAAAGAATAAAATAATTATAGTAGATTAAAAAATTAATCTAAAAAACCATGTTTTCAAAAAGCAAAAAATAACCTTAAACGTGGTGCGCATGGAGATTGTTGGGAAGAAGTGAAATACAAATAAAATAGATGAACACCACGTTTAAGGTTATTTTTTGCTTTTTGAAAACGTGGTTTTTTAGATTAATTTTTTAATCTACTATAATTATTTTGTTGCATTTGACGTTGGAGAATAATGCGGAAATAGCAGGAAAATGTGAAGGAATTTTTTCACACTGATGGAATTTTAATGAACCAACAGGATCCGTTTTATGCGAGAAAATGATCGCAAGTTATTTTCTTGTGGTTTGTGGTACTGCAGCTAATTATTCTCAAATGATAAAAGTTTTTTCGTGTTTCGATTGTGATTATGTGAAACGGATAAAGGTATTCGTTGTTAAACGTGATCGTTATTTTAAAGCGCTCACTATTGAACATCCTTTTCCAAAAAATAAATAAAACATCTTGCGAAAGTCCGATGCTAATTCGCGAAATAATACTGTATTCAAGATGATAATCTGGTTTTTTGTTTGGATTCTGCGTAGGTATGAAGGTGTGACATTATCTTGAGATGAGACTTTTCCGGATTGGATGTTGAGTGAGTGATATTAATGATTCCCGTGTTATAATTTTCTTCTCCAGATGGTACCGAGCGCCGGAGATTATGCTTAATTGGATGCATTACAATCAAACGGTAGACATTTGGTCTGTAGGGTGTATAATGGCTGAGCTGCTGACCTCGAGGAACCTGTTCCCTGGCACAGACCACGTAGACCAGTTGATGCGAATCATGGTGCTTTGCGGAACACCCAGTGACGAACTCTTGAACAAGATCACGTCTCAAGAAGCCCGGAACTACATCAAATCCCTGAAGGTTAGAGCAGTTGAGCCTGGATAACTGGAACATCTCTCTTGAGTCGAATTTTTTTTCTCAAGTTCCTGTGTTGAATTTCATTGGAAACGATGCAGTAAAAAATCGCGCTAATTCGAAAGCTTTCCCACCTCAAACCTCCATGGATCGAATTTGCAGAGGCCTTTTGGCTATTATTTTATTTACACGGGAAGGAGAAAAGGAATCAAAAAAGTAACTTGAAGTGTTTTCAATTGTGCAAATGAACCCTTGCCTTGGAGCTCAGCATCCTGTCAACTTATTCAAGAACCAAATTGAAGCCCCGAATATCACCATTTAAAATTTGCTGTCATTGTTTTTTCTCTCCCCAAAGAAATTTTTGTTTCCCTATCTCGAATTTTTTCCTGGTTCCATTGCAGTTCAACTGAAAATGTGTGCGATATTATATTTAAAATTTTTATTTTTGTATTGAACTGTGGTATGTGCAACTTTTTCCACTGGGCTTGTAAATCCTGTGATTGGTCACTGCTTTTAATTTTTAGTAATTTTCAGGAAGGAGAGTGCTTGACACATTTTTTAAAGGTGTTCATGTGTGGTTGAACAAGGTGATGGAACCATTCAGTATGTGCTGTGCCAAAATAGTGGATTGTAAATTTTGTGTGTGTTATTTTTCACTGTATTACAGGTAGCCCTCAATTTAGTGCCACCAATTTCACTTTAACCAATCTCCCTTCAATGTGTTCTCCTTTTTGCCAAAAATGATGCCCTTTCCCTGGAAGAAAAATGGCCCAAAATCAAAGAAAGTAAATCCTCTTTTTAGGATTACCATTTGGTTATTACTGAGAATGACATGCCCATGCTTGCATAAACGCTCAGGATAATTTTGAAGTCTACTTTTAAATTCGTATATTTGAAAAATCATGTTTGTTGTTGCATGACACCTTCCTTTGCTGAAAATTTTGCAAATAATTTAGGAACTTTCCTGGAAACATTTGGTGATGATGATACCTGATCATCATCAACTCCCAATTCATGCATAGCTTTGAGAAATGTGTATCCTGTATTATTAAATACTATACTTCAAATATATATACTGTACATGTAGTGTAAAGCAATAAATTTGTGCTTCAAATGATTTCTTGTGGCTTTTTCTCTTATAAAGCAGACTTGGGATCCCTCACAATTCTATAAGAAGCTTATACAGTATTGTGTAATGTAGAAACCCCCAAGGGAAATGTCACAAAATTGGAAAATTTTGAAGAATTTTCATCCTTAAGCAAAAATTTGGCTTTCATTTAAAATCTGTTATTTACCTGCCTTACATTTTTGTACAACAATCATCAAAAATATTCAATTTGGAAAAAGGTACAGAATTTACAGCAAACATTTTCTAAAATTCTATTTTTGGCTGTGAAGGCAGACCAAATGAAGGTTCAACTGTGCTGTACACTTTGTCATTTTGTGCGTCGAATATCTTGGTGGTTTGTCAGTTTCAGGTAGGCTTTTGCAGTTGTCCTGATCACCGCGTTTCTTCCTTTCCCCCAGGTGATGAAGAAAAAGGACTTCAAGCAGGTGTTCAAAGGTGCGAATCCACTCGCCATTGACCTGTTGGAGAAAATGCTGGAGCTGGACGCTGAAATCCGGATCACGGCGGAACAGGCCCTTGCTCACCCGTACCTGGCCCAATATGCGGACCCGTCCGACGAACCCGCGTGTGACGTCATGTACGATCAGGCCTATGAAGACAAGGAATTGCCCGTGGCTGCCTGGAAAGAACTCGTCTGGCAAGAGACTGTTTCTTTCGATCGCACTGCGGTGAAACGTAGCGATTGATATTTTTAATTTCCCTCACCCCTTGAACCCAAAACAGCAGTGTTTTGATTGATTGATTCTTCTCCTCCTCCTTTCCCGGAATGCGTAAATTATTTCTTGTTAGCTTCCATGAAATGATGATTCCGTCGCGAGTGATCCTGTTTTTACCACTACCGAGATTTGCGTTTCACCGGTCTAATAGTTTTTATTTTATTTTTTTGACGTACATTAACGTAAAAAAAGTGTCCCTTTAGTTCCGTGACGCTCAGCATTTGGGTTAGGTTGTGTTGAAAGCCCGTGCGAATGAATGTTAAATAGTCGGTCATCGATATTAATCGCCCCGGGGTTTCTCAGAATTTTCAGCTGGTTTCCAAATATTCATTTTTTTTTGGTCAAATTTCCCGAAGATATGGCGTCGTCTCAAATGTTCCAAATATTCATTTTTTTTTTGTTGGTCAAATTTCCCGAAGATATGGCGTCGTCTCAAATGAGCGGCGATCAAGGAACAAATGTGGTCAACTGGGGAAGAGCTCGTCGTGTTTTTCAAAAGCCGTGCTGTCCACAAGAATTCAAACTTTATTGAATAATTAGGATCATTGAATGAGGATTCATCTCAAAATTCTTGGTTTGCTTCGATATCATAATGTAGTCTGGGCAGAGCAAGTGTCTCTCGTGTAACTGGTATTCGAAGGTTAGGTACGTCGGAAGGTTTAGATTGATTTTCAATGGATTTCTGCACGTTGTGCAAATATCTTCCAAGATTTCTTGTGAAATTGTTGTAAATGTCCTGTTTTTTTTAACGAAATTTGATATTTTCTCAATCTGTGGGTTTCAGATAATTTGTAAGTTTTTTGAAAGGCGAGTTCTCGATGCTTCTTGCATTTTTAAAATCACTCTGACATTTGTTTTGGAATGAGTAGTGCAAGTATTGATCGTATCAGAATCGGTGTTCAGTGGTGTGCACATGCTTTGATTGATCGTTATTCACTCACTTGAATCGCTGCGATTTCAGGAAGGAAGATTTTTTGTGAGTCCTGCATAGACATCAGTATTTTTCAAATGCATTCAGCAACAGGACATTGCTTACTCACTGTCGAGAACTGCGAGGACTGTTTCTTTTGGATGCCGTGCAATGAGAACGTGGTCTAGTTACCAAGATTGATGAACTTAGAATTGGAAAAGAGGCGCACTCGAAGCAGCCCCTGAACAGCCTGATTTACTCGAAGGCAAATTTTGCAATGATAACCAGCCTCAGGATATATTGCACTGCTGTATATTGTCATTGTACTGTTTCTCAGGGGACAAGTTATCAAGAGAAATGGCTGGACTGAGTGGAAGCTTTGATGAGATTCGGGGGGAAAATAATTGGTGAATTATGGAATTTCTCTGTAGGCCAGAAATGTATTTCTTGCTGGAGGATTTATGTGTTCGCACGCTCTGCTGCAATTTCTGATCATAACATAATACTTTATTTGCTTGAGTACCTCATGCACGTTTTTTTCTTTTTCAAAATTGAGAGGAAGGTGCATAGGTTAGGCAGATTTGAAATTTTCAAGGAACTTCTTGGAGCGCACTATACTCAATACCAATTGGAAATTTCAACCAAAGAACTTTCAATTGAAACAGTTGAAAATTAAGAGAATCCATGTCTAATTGTTGAGTCATTTTTTTAGGTTTTGAACTTCCTTGAGGATAGTATTTCAACAAAAGTTTTAGGCTGAGAAATCTGTGTGCGCATTGTACTTGAGGGTGTGCGGAACTTGAGTAATTATGGTAATGTATGTCAATGCTGAATTTTTCGAAATATCTGTGGAGTTGAAATGGTTTCCTCCAAAATGGCGCTGGGTAATGTGGAAAATCCCAATTAAATACTATCCTTTGTGTGTGAGCATCACTTCTTCCTGTAATTGAAAGTTCAAATCTGGGTTGGCACAACATTCAGATTGTTTAAGCGCAAAATTCCTTTTTCTAATTGTTAATTTGATCGTTCGAATCAAATGAGTACAGCTACTATATTCCTGGTACTGTACTTGCCCAGCTTTGCCCTCAAGGTTATATTAGGCAAATGTAAGCCCTGGTTTACATTGTATTGACAAAGAATAAGCTGCTTACGTTTGTACCTCCATTTTCTCAGCAAATGGAAAAAAATGTTCTTTTGTTTATGATTTATTCAACTCCATGACAAACAATCTTGACCTTGCTTATCATTGCGGGTGGTATGAATCGAGTGGCCTGAACTGACACAGTTTCCCCAGTTGACTCGCTAGTGACCTCTACCTCTCGGAAAACGAAACTTCCCCTAGCGTCGCATCTCCTGCGTAGTCTTGCCGCGAGCAGGATTTTATACGAAACGAGAAAAATATCCGTCGCATTCGTATTCTTCCGAGTTCAACCGCGGTGGTTGTTCTTATTCGCGTAGCGCGATGTTAGGAATATTTTGTACATAGTGGCTAACACAAAAAAAAAAGAAAAGAAATGATCGCATGTTACGATGCGCTCAGTCGCTTCTGCTCAGCTAGGCGCTATGGATGAGAAAGGTGCTTTCAGGTGCGTGTGAGTGCGGATGATCCGGACGAAAATACACGGATTTTTTTTTTCCATTCGTAGCCGGATTTTAAGATTTTGAATCCTTCCAAAGGTTATCGAAGCTTCTTGGTGAACGTGGAAGTATTCCCGAACGTGAGCTTATTGCGCATTGACCGTGCGGATCAGTCTTACTTTCGATGTGAGACGTTTTTCAAAAACCGTGGTCATTCGAAGGCTTTTGGATGGATTCGCTGTTGGTCTCTTCGGTGTGCGTTCAGTGGGTAAAAGTTGACGTGACCCTGGGAACAATTGTATGTGTGTGTGTGAACACGTGGTGATGTATCTCACTTGTCGTAGAAATGACGGATTATCAGTTTCACTCGTCGGATTGCCCCGTGTGGCATCCGGACAAATTTGATGCGAACGTCGCGTCGCGATGTTGGTGTCAACGGTATTCGAACTTGGTTGACTGGAATGTCTCCCTTGGAAACCTGAGTCCGGCGGAGACGGATGGACTCAAGAAAGATTTGTTCGGTGAGTTTTTCATTCACGTTTGAAGTGGGTGATGTTGGTTCGAGTGTGATCCCGTGTGTGTTCCGCGTTCGTCAGATGAGAAGAACAGAGAGATAAAGCCGCCTGCTTTGCAAACGGACGCTTTTCTGTGCTCCAGCTTGTGGTCCACTGAAGAATTGAAGGTGAGAGGGATTATTCAAAAAAAACATCAAACGTTCTTGGATCGACTGTGCTTGGTTATGGTCGCTTCAAGTAGTTCTTCAGACTTTGAGTTCGTTCATTCACCGAATGCTTGAGACTAGCGTCGAAGTTCGACAAATTTTATGGTGAATTAGAAGCGGGTATAGGATCGATCTGAATGTTGCGTCGCTCATGGCTGAGCATTTTTTCGAGATTCTCTGCAACAACATAAGTTTTGACGGTTCGAATGTCGAAGGAAATGTAACTTACGCGAGTGGAATCTCTCTACAACGAAATTCAAGAAGCGAGAAGAAAGTTCGTTGTTCAGTAGTAGGAATATAGTTCTGCGGAGAACGGCGTTGTAGACAAGATCATTGTAGAGAGTCCAAATTGTATACCATGCAACCTTGATAAATTAAGCCTCCTTATGTCGAATTTTTGTCAAATTCCCTCTGAATTGCCTGAAACAGTTCATTGTAAATCTCTCTAACTCTAAGGCTTTTCTCCTCAAACTTCAACGGTGGGGAAGAAGACGACGAAGCGTCAGTGACAGGCTCATGGTTCTTTTTTATTTTTCGGGGTTCAGGACCAGGGGGTGAATTTGGACCTTTTGTGGAAGAAGCTGGACGAAGTGACTGGGAGTGTGGAAACTAGCAGCAGCAGCAGCAACAACAACGCCACCAACACCTCCACCAGTGCTGATGTCAATGACTGCAAGATGACCTTGCCGTTTCCCAGCTCGGAATCGTCTCCGTATCTGAGCCCGGCCGTGTCCAGGAGTCCCCTGGACGTGGAGGCGTTGGTTTCGTTGCCGGACGGAGATTTGTCGTCTGCGTCGCCGCTGGCCCTGGACACGCTTTTGTTCGAAAATAATGATGATAATAACAGCAGCAGTGGTAGTGGTGAGCCGCCTCCAACGGTGGAGAAGAAGACGCCGAAGCGTCGCGGGCGTCCGCCGGGAAGGACTAACAAGGAGACCAAAAGCCCGAGGAAGCGAATGCCGAGTTTCACGGACAGCGTCAGTTCGGATTCGTTTGACCCGTCGGGGTTTGTCATCACCCCTGACGACCTCAAGCCCGTGCCCATCACCAAGAAATCAAAGAAAAAGGTTTGCGATCCAATGCCGGAACGATTTGATGTTCAATACTGTAGTCTACTTTATTTTCTCTCTCTCAGCTGTAATGAAACCTAGTCGTAAGACCGAAACAAAAAGCGTGAATGTGTCGTGAGAACTTCTTTGCGGAAGACCTTCGTTGATGTTCGTAGATCGTTTTATGCCAGAAAATTTTTTAGCAAAGGATGTTACATTAATAGTTTTCAATGAATCATTGAATGGGGGGTTACTTTATGTAATCGATCGACTTGAACTAAGCTTCAAACGCGAAAAATGTGCCTGAAAACTCGTCGGGGTTTTGTTATAGCCCCTGACGACCTCAAGCCCGATCCCATTACCAGGAAATCAAAGAAAAAGGTTTGCGATCCAGTGTTGGAAAGATTTGATGTTCAATTGTCTACTTTTCTCTCCCTCTCTCTCTCTCAGCTGTAATGAAACTTAGTCGAAAGAACAAAACAAAAGCCGTGAATGTTTTGTGAGAATGTCGGGGTCTCACTGTGACTGAAGAGGGAATACCCTTTTTCCTTTTTACGCATTCTTAAATTCGCTAATTCCGGAAAATTCCCAGCGAATGGAATTCAGTATTAAAGAAAAAAAAGACATCAGATGAGGGAATATTTTTATGTATACATTATTCACTGAACTTCGTACGCGAAAACTTTAAAACATTTTAGCGATTTATAATCGCGATAATGTTCTGTACACGTGTACCGCGGGAAAAAAAGTTATTTCTATGAAGAGCGTTTCGTTGCGGAAGGGGCTGCTCATCAAGTTTGGTAATCCTGCAGATTGTCAAGTGTTTTCTCTTTAATCACTATGAAGTCTCGGAAAGTTTGTCTCGCTTAGGAATGGATGTCTGCGGTAAAAACTCTTCATTCTCAATATTGTAAACTCTGATGAAGTGTTCGTTCCGTCGTTAAAATCGTGGGTGTGTCCAAGTTATGTCCTACAATGCTCTGATGAATTTATAATTGCTTATCAAAATCACGGGTTACTGAATCCCCTCCATGGTTTTGCTTGACAATACTACACGTTGTATACAGACTTTTTGTGAGCATTTACTCTGTGAAAAAGGGCATTATTCTGCAATATATGTTGTACAGTCAAAGCTGGTTAATTGAATCCACCAGTTATTGGGACCAGCTGCTTATTTGGACCAAATTGTCCATGACAGGAACAAACTCCTCAAGGTAATGAAAATTTTAGTCACTTATTTGGACCAAAAAGTTCTGAATGAGCCACAATGCTGGAACACCATTGTGGCATACAATTGGGGATGTTTATGTGATGGAACCATCTGCTCAATAGGACCAGAAAGTCTGTGGCCCAATGTGGTCCTATTAAGCAGTTAAAACTTTGAAGTATTTTAATTTGCAAAAATGATACAGTTGGACCTCTTTACCTTGAACTTCAAGTGACCAGCAAAACATTTGACTTGAAAAGATTTTGAGTTGAGGAAAGAAGCATTTTTTATTGGCAAGGATGAAGGAGCATTGCAGGAAATTTCAATTATTGATAGAGGTGGTACTTTGCAATCCAACCCCTCAAAATTTGACTGTCAAATTTGCTGGGAGGTTGACTCACAATTTGACATTTGCCCCACAATTTGACCTGCTTTTGCCATTTTTTGCATTGATATTTTCAAATTTCACAAAATCTCTTGCAATTTGACTGCTTTGAAATTTGTGAATGAAGAATGAACTGAAAGCTTCATTTTCTGCTTTTCAGCATTCACAAGGTTCAACCAACATTCCCACATCCAAACCCCCTCCCCACCCAACCCAAATCCATTCAAGCGCATTCAATCACTTCAGAATGGGGAACAGAGAAATAAGCTGTACATGGATACCAAAATAAAAGAAAACACATTCCACAATGTACAGCTTCACAACTGATGTGTATGTGTACATCCCCTTCTTTTTTTGACATTGAACACAAAGTATCAGTAACAGGAATTGCAGCATAAGCCAGAATTTTAGCAATTGCAGCAGTTACTGAACTCAATTTAAAGCACAAGGTCTTCAGCCTGTTCCCAGATAAGGTTTAGTTGAATGAACAATTCAGAGAGAATCTTTTACAAGATATCATATAACGCCAACAGTTTATCTTGATCCTCTATGATTTCAGAAAGAATCTCTTCATTGAATTCCAATACTGGTAAATCTTTCTTGAGCTCATTTCTATCAGTATGGAATGCTGGGCAAAAGAAGAGAATGTGCTCTGGCAATGGCAATGGATTAGGGTTGAATTGTGATGTACCACATGTATTATATTTCTTAAACTGCTTCTCAAATTAGTCAACAAAATGCTTATTTTGAAGGTAATCCTTCATTTGCACAAAGGAAAAAATTACTGCCTGATGGGAGGACATTTGGTTACATTTTTAATGGTTTTTCTTGTGCTAATTTCCGAAATATTAGCAGAGGGCCTCCAGAAAAATCGAGTTTGAGAGTTTTTTTGGGGAGTGAAGAAACCTTTGTTGCTAGTATTGTTGAAGAGAATTTAGACAAGGATCTAAAAAAAATTTGACTAGGGGACGTTCAAGATCCTGATGTCCAACTTGAATTATTTTGGAAACTTCTTGAACCTATATGAGTAAGACAGTATTTATTTGCTGCAACGTGTAGGGAAAAATACTACTGTTTTATTTACCCAGCCGGTTTTTTTTTTCAATTGTGATCGACCGTATTTTTCAAGTGGATGGGAAAATAAAAAAACGAGAGAATACGAAAAGGAGCAAGTGGACGTTGTAATGATCACGGACTACAATCAGCCCTCGAGTTCAAGGCTATCGATGCAAAGATAATTGCGTGCTTTGTGTCAGTGAGGAACGATGAGCGGAAATGGTGTTGGCAGGAATAAAACCGGCGAATTCGGAATGATTGACGCGTTGGCAATCGGGAGGGAAATTCAGCACACTTTTTTAGAATTGAATTCTGATCTCAAATTGTATTTTGTCGGATAATCCGAAAAGAAAATAAGCGTATTTTCTGCTTCCTGGTGAGTTTTTGAGTCATGACGTTGTTTTGAGTTTGTCTCCCTTTCGAGGAAATTACCGTATTATGCACTCTTTCTGTGGATTGGTTTCAGTTTAGTTAAGTTTGTTTTCAACAAAGTCGGAACGTTTTAGGGAATATTGAAAATTTTAAGAAGCTTCCAATATAATGATTCACTCACTGAGTGCGTTGGATGATTCTTCAGTTTATTATTTTGAATTGGAAATGTACTGGGTCATAGACCGCGTGCATCGAACTGTGACGAACCTTCCACTGAATTCCATTTGTAAAGAACTATTTTTTTTTCTTCGTACAGTTCATTATTTACGTGGGGTATGACAAAAGTTCTTGGAATAAAAGTTAAATCCGCAAAGGAGTGAACTGGAAAACAAATCATTGTCCAGAGGAAGTTCTTCGGTTCAAGAACAAATTCAGATCTTTTCGACATACTGTATTTTGCGGAATTTTTTTCGCAAAAGTCACCCTGGCAGATTTTTGCTCTTATCGCAAAATATGAGGCGATCATGTTGCAGATTTTTTTGTGTAGCCCAGCTTGTCTTTCAAAATTCTTAGAAAGGATATGGCATTAAATTCAAGGGATACCGTTATTGATTCCGCCATTTTCATCAACAGCCTTGGAAGACCTGGAGGGCAACCCTTGGAAATACTGCCATGTCTGATTTTTTTTTTAAATTCTGCAGGAGATGCTGGGCTGAGCAAAAAAAAATCTGCGAGATGGGCGCCTCATCTTTTGTATGAGGAGCAGAATTTTGCAAACGATTCTGCAAAAGATGTCTACCAAGGCTGATTTTATTTTTATTTTTACCAAAGGATTTTTTTTACACTAATTGTATTTTTCATGCCGTTTCACTTTTTGATCTGAGAAATACTCTTGGACTCCTTCGTCCTTGATTCTCTAAAACCAGAATTTGAAGTGTTTTTGTGGCAGTTGAAGCAAAATGCTCCTGGTTGGTCACTATTTTTAATTTTACTGTTCTGTACGTGAGAAATTTCTCCACGTTTTTGATTTATTTAGATTTAGGCTGGCAATTTGAATTTAATTGTGTGTTGATTTATCCTTGAGGTGCAAGACAAAAAATCGGCACCATAATCATGAAAATAAAAATTGTCTCCCAATGTAAACTGATTCAATCAATATATTTCAACACAATATGGGCATTTTGGGAATTGAATACTGATGCATCTATACATGCAATACATAGGAAGGTTGGCATTCTCTGTAAAAATAACATTCAAGTGAAAAAGATAGATGGAAGTCCCGCTATGCTAGAGGTAATTTTTTAAATTAGCTAAATGGATGGTAAATTTGAGAGAAATGCCCAGAACTTTTCTTGCATCAATTTTAGGGTTGGAAATATCTGTTTCTTGTAATTTGGCCTGTAATGTATATGTATTTGCAATTTCATCACAAAATGTCCCTATGTCAAGTCAGTGTCTCATGTTGTGCCTTTTTTTTTATTACTTATGGGAAAATAAGTGCCCTATGTCAAATTGTCTAGATGTTGAGGTGTCCACATGTGGGGGTCTCACTGCACTCAGAAATATATTTAAAATTACAGAAATTACATATAACAGCACAGTCTTTTTGGAAGAGGTAATTCTCCTGGAAGCTTTTCCCGCATTTTTTTTTCTATCCATCTCCGTTCATTCTAATTGTTTTCGAAATTTATGTACCGTCTCTCGCATTTAATTGAAGCTTTGAAATGTGTGTGTTGATGAATAAGAATCTCGCAATCTTGTAAGGTCTTGTTTGTCCGGGGAAAACAGTGCGATGTTTGAAACACGGCTCCTGTATTGATGTCACGTACCCTCTTTGTGGATTGCATTCAGAAGCGCAAGGAAACGATCCCCTTTTGATCATGGAAGCTCAAAGCCGCGATGTCATTTGTTATTCCGTTTCGGTGCGATCCCTGTTGAAGGGAATATCATCCGGAAGAGAATGGAATTGCATGAAGATGCAGTCTTGTGCCATCTTTCTTTGTGCGGAGGTGAAGTTGAAATACGGATGAAAAACAAAGGAGTAGGTTTTTCCCCCCTTTCTCCTATTTTGCGTCGTATTTAGATTTTATGTTGGTATATTTCTTTTGAGTATTTCTGGGTAGTTTGCGATAAATATCATGTTGAAGGAAGGTTCGAGTAAATTTTCGATTAGCTCCCAGGATTTTGAATGTAATTTTGTTGATGGCCAACGAAATGATGAGGAAATGGTAGTTTTCGACCAACACTAAATCAGGAAATTTGTTGAAAGAAAATTAGAAAATCTCAGGATGTTGGATTTCATTTTTTTTATCCCTCTATATTTTACATCTGCATGTCTATGGAATTTTCCTGGAAATAATAAAAATTCTGAATTTAATATTTGGAGTTCATATGTTTGCAATAAATCATGTTGAAGAAAAGCTTGAATAAATTTTTGATTTGACCTCTGAATTTTCAATGGGTGAAGAATTGATGAATAAATTGGTTTATTTTCATTCCTCATAAAATCAGCAAATTCTAAAATGAACTTGAGGAATCAAATGTTGTAAAGTGAGACCCCACGATGTGGACATAATTTGTGAAACAAGAGTGTCCCTAAGTCAAGTCTCATTTTCCCTTAGACTTACATTATATAATTTTTAATAGGTGTTTCATGTAAAAATACCATAATTCCATGAAAATAAAAATTGTCTCCCAATTCAAACTGATTGCAATCAATATATTTCAACACAATGTGGGCATTTGGGGAATTGAATACTGATACCTCTGTACAGTACAATACATAGAAATGTTTGCATACTCTGTAAAAAATAACATTCAAATGAAAAAGAGAGAAGGAAGTCCCTCTCTGCTGGAGGTAATTTTTTTAATTTGCTAAATGAATGGTCAATTGGTGAGAGAGATGCCCTAGAACTTTTCTTACATCAATTTTAGGGTTGGAAATGTCTGTTTCTTGTAATTTGGCCTGAAATGTATTTGCAATTTTACAACAAAATGTCCCTATGTTGAGTCAGTGTCCTCATGTCAGGCCTTTTTTATTAATTTTTTTTTATGAAATAAGTGTCCCTATGTCAAATTGTCTGCAGGTCAAGGTGTCTGCATGTGGGGGTCTCACTGTATTTTATTTCATTTTGCTCTACATTTTGCATATGCACATTTTTCAAATTATTATGGAGATCTTAAAAATAAATATTTAGTCTTCCTAGTTTGTTTGCAATAAATCCTGTTGAAGAAAGATTAAGATACATTTTTGATTTGGTTCCTGAATTTTAATGTTATATTATTAAAGGCTAACAAATTGATATGGTTAATTTTTTACTATGAAAGCAGGAAATTGTGGAGAGAAAATGAGAAATCTGAGAATGTTGGATTTTCAGTTATCCTGCTCTACGTTTTAAATCTTCGCAATTAAGAATTTTTTATGGAGATTGTAAAAATATTGGAAGTATTATTCAATGTTCACTGTCAACCCCCGCATAATGGACTTAATTCGTGCAACAGTCTGTTGTGAAAATTCAATTAACATTTTTTATATTTTTACCAATAATTTTAAACCAACCGAAGTCTGTTATGCCATTCAGTCTGTTGCGCGGGAGGGAAAACCACCTCCAGAGGCCGTCTGTTGTGCAAAAATACATTGTACGGGAGGTCTGTTCTGCGGGGTTTAACTATTTTACGGTTCTTTGTTTACACGCATGGTGTATTAAGGATTGTTCATCACTTTTTTTATTTTGTCGAAGTTCAAGGGACCATGAAGAAATTGAGCTGAATAGGTTTCAATTTTGGGAAACAAGTCTTTTTGATTGGGGGAAAGAAAAAGTAAGTGCATGCTATTCTATGAATGAAACTGTGCCTTCTAAATTGAATGACGTGATGCTGAACTCCGGGCTATCAGAAGGAACGTTCATTGATGAGCTGAACTTCTGTTTTGAAAAACAGGATGCTTGATGTACTTTTATTTTTACTCTGAAGAACTGAGACGTCCGCAATGAAGAACGCGTGCACTTATGCCATAATTTTTTTTCTCTCTCAAAATTTAAACGCCTTTGTGTGTGTCGTGAAGAACCTCTTTTTCGTTGTTTGAAAAGCATTCTGACTTTTTTCTCCTTTATGCTATGCTTCATGATCAGTTGACCCCCGAGGAAGCAAAGGACGATAAATACTGGGCCAGGAGGAAGAAGAACAACATGGCTGCGAAGCGTTCCCGCGACATCAGGAGGATCAAGGAGAACCAGATTGCCATTCACGCTTCTTTCCTGGAAACCCAGGTGGTAATTGCAGTGAATTCGTGTCTTCATTCCTGCCGTTCCACTATATTAACAAAACAAAAAAACACCCACTCGCGCCCCTTTTTTTCTGTTTGTTTGTTTAGAACTCCAAGATGAAGGCGGAGTTGGAAGAATTGCGTGCTGAGAACGAGACTCTTCGCCGCAAGTTGGAAGCTTACGAGATGTCTGGTCTGAAGCGTTAGGCAAACGCGTTGCGGACGTGGTGTGGAAATCCGAACAGGATTGAAGGAGGAAATCGTGTGGAGAAGAAGAAGAGGAGAAAAAAGCGGGAACGATTCGAGAAGAGAAGAAGGAAGAATCCTTGCCGATGGCGACAGTATTTTGCGTTTCCAGTGCTCCTTGTTTTCCCTGAATTCCAACCGTGGCATTTTTTTTTTTTTTTTTTTTTGGTGCAACGACATGATGTGAAATGAGACGGTGGAGGAAAAGGAAGGTAAATTGCGGCTTTTGTTTTTTTTGGGTGGATAAGTACGACCTTTGAGCAATTTGAAAGCGACATAAGTTATTTGGCTGTTCTTGGAGCGTTGAAATAAGTTTGGTCGCTTATGTTGTCGCGAGGTTTTAGTGGAGAGTTCCGTTGTCCAGAATGGATTAATGGAGTCTTTTTGCTTTAAGAGAGAGATAGGGGGTATCGTTGGTGTGGAGGCGGTTTCAGTGATTGATACCCGGTGGAAATTCGGAATTTGACGTCGCAAAAAGTGGTTGGGGGAAGCTTGTATTTCTTCGGCAATTCGAATGTGAATCCGAGTGCGATTCGATTTTCAAGAAGGTGCGGTGGAGTGAATTTGTTCGAGCCTCGACTGAAGAAGCACCTACTCTAGCAAAAAGAGAAATTTCGAAAAATGAAAACTTTTGTGATGGAGAACAGTCGGAATTTCTACCTGGTATCGTTCATTGGAAGTCCTCCCGAGTACGTCAGCGTACCAGAAAGGTTCTACTCAAAAGGCGTACGCGAGACTCGGTTTTCAATATTCTACCCCAACGAAGTTGATGTCTTTTTTTTTTTTTAAATCCTCATGCTTTTGCTCGGTGTAAAAAAAAAAAAAATTTTGAAACACACTTTTTTCTCTCTGGTGTTCTTCGATGTGCTGTTGTGGTCGGTGTTGTAGGAAACTTTGGGTGCTGGTGCGTGTCCTGGGTGTCGGCGGGTGAATCGCACGCTCAGGAAGAAGGAACGTTTGAATGTGATCGGTGTGTTAACGAAAAGAGGGGGGAAAATATTAGGGAGCGAGGAACATTCCGTGGACGCAAATGTGTGGGTGTTTTTTTTTTTTTTTCCTTGGCTGTGTGGAAGCGTAGATCGGTGTCGAAAAAATTGTTTTCCACCCCCCGCGGGATTTTCATCGTCTTTTTATTTTTTAAAAGAGGAAAGCAACGCAATTCCGAATGTCTCCCATTGACTGGCATTTTTATTTTTTGCCCCCACGAAATGCCAGAATTGGCTCGCGTATAAATATTTTTGCGTTCGGTGCAATATTTAGGATCGGATCTGTGATGATCACGGATTTCCCCAGATGCCATCAGTTTTGATTCGAGGAGGATATTTTATGGATTGTTGATTTTTTTTCTTTTGGATTCGGGAAAAATCGTGGAATTCTGAGATTTTAGCGACAACTGACAAATGATTAATTCAAATGTTGAGATTCTTCAGGAGGCCGTTAGTGTTTGTAGAGAATTTAAAGAAAAATGCCATCACCGCTTGAATCGTTTTTTTTTTTTTTTGTCAAAGTCATGGTTTTTGTGTCCTGTAAAATTTCTTGTTTGAACGCTGTTAGCTTTCATAGTGTAGAGTCCGAATCCTCGAATGTTTCGACATTGAAAATTACCCATTTCAAGGAAAAAGCAGAATTCTCGAATTTTTCAATGTTGAATTCTTCAAGAGGCCGCTAGGATAAAGTGTCCAATTTCTTGTTCAAACGGTAGACTCTAAAACAAGCCTGATTTCAGAGGTTCTCAAAGACATACAGTATTTCAAATCACAAATTGTCTTATTACTTGAGAATTATGGAATGCTGCAGCAGGAAATTCGCAATGGAATTATATAGTAATAGATTCTGAATTAATTTCCTCAACAAATTATTTGAATTTTGGTTGTTTTTCTCATGATGTGTTACATTTCACTCAAAAGGAAACTTTTGTTCGTTCTTAATTTTCGAATTTTTATTCTATTGAATGTTACATTTACATAGATGAACCATCATGTTGCATTTCATCTGCTAACATTTGAGAAAATTTATTAAATGGCATCAAAAAATCTAAGTCTCTGATAAACAATCATGGATGTCCTGAACCATATTTACTTGAGTACCATGCCCTTGAGTAAGATTTGCACTAGGATTTCTCAGCCTAAAATGTTGATGGAAGCCTATCCTACAGATGCACACCCCATTTTAGTGACTGAAAATTTCAAGAAGGCTTGCTGGAATTTTGACAAAGATTGTACCTGAATTTATCGTTGTTTCCATTTGAAAAAAAGGAGTTGAAATGGTTTTTAAATTCCTCATTAGAATCAAATATGATGAACACTGTAACTCCTGAAAAATTCTTGGATTTTGACTAGGATTGTACCTGAATTTGAGTAATTTCACATTGTTTCCATTTGAAATGGGGTTGAAATTCCTCATTGGAATCAAATATGATGCCCACTGTAACTCCTGAAAAGTTCTTGAATTCACTCCCACCTACAGGATTGTACCTGAATTTTATTAATTTCAAATGGTTTCCATGTGAAAGAAAAGAATGAGTTGAAATGGGTTTGAAATTTTTTTTATGATACACACACTGTAACTCCTTGAAAATTCTTAAATTCATTCCTACCTACCTACATTTTCCTCAGAACTTTGAGAAAACAAGGTGCTTGTGGTACTTGAGTGAATACAGAAAAACTGGAAATACTGTAGGTGAATGTTACTGTAATATGGTGAATATGGCTGCAGAAAAACTGAAAATGGTTCTTTATGTTTACTGTTGTATAGTATGTGTATCCTGAGCATTGACAAGACAGTGATGTCTGAAAATCCAGCTCAATTAGAGTGTATTGGGAAAAAAAACCCTGGATGTTTCTGTCTTGTTGTCAAGATTTTGCTTTTGAATACGGTAGCTTTCAGATGCAATATGGATGACCATAATGTGGCTGTTTCCCGAGGAAATCATTGTCTGTTGATTTCTTTCCTCGTAAATTTGGGATTGAAATCCTGGCGCGAAAAAAAAAGTCTGGTTAACCTTTTGTTGGTTTTCTCTGTAAAGCTCATGTATGACACATTGTCCTCATTTATCTGGTCGAGAAAAATCCTCGCGTTTTGGTTTTATTTATTTTTTGAATCCCATTCGGTTTGAGTTCTGTGAAAATCGGAAATACGTTTAAAAGTTTATCAGGGAACAAAGGAAACCTCCGCATGCGTGGTTTTCGTGTATTCCTTGTATCAGATTGGGCATGAGGGAGCAAAAATGGTGAGAGAAGCCAAGAAAGAAAGAAAGAAAAAAAACATGATTACCAATTCAACTGCTCAACCGGAAAAAAAGTTAGTTTTCGCACCTCCCACGGGGTGGCGCTTTCGATAGTATACGTCAGGAAACGAAAGGAAACAAGTGTTGCATTTGGTTTTTACTGGTTGTTTGAAGGGGGCGGGGGTTATTAGTGTTTCTTTTTTTTTTTTTTGTGAATCAATCGCGGTTGAGGAATTCATGCTCAGGGTTTGGTTTACAATTTTTTGGTCTTGCGTTTTACGCTTTGCGTATATATAGGGTCTCAGTAAACATTTTTATTCAATTTTTTTTGCTGGGTTTTTGGGTGACGTTATATTTGGAATCCGGACTTTTTAATTTGTGTACAGACGGAATCGACTTCTTATTTTGTAGTCATGTGGGATTCTGTTGGCTGCTCGGATCTCAGTGAAAAGAAAAATCGGTGTTGGCGCGAGAAAAGGTTTCTAAAAACCCGAATAAGCGCCTTTTTTTATTTTGCTGGATTCATGGTCCAGGCTTAGATTTAATCCAAAATATTTTTTTTCCTCTGACACCTGTGTTGCAATTGTGTGGAGAGACGATGTGTGCTTCTGGGCTCTTATGTGTTTGGTCAATTGTCGTGTATAGGAATAGGTTTAGTTGATTAATGTTGTGTGAAGGGAAAACTCGTTTGCTTCCTTGTAGAAAAAAATAAGGTGGAAGGTTTGGAACCCTGGACGTTTATTTCTCTATATGGATGTGCTGTGTATACCCTGTGTGTCCTAGATGAAGAAATGCATATACTTGTTTTTGTAAATAAACTTCTTATTGTCTTTGTTGAATTGTGGGGGGTGGGGGGGACAAAAGTGTGGATTTGTTTGTTACTGCTGGTGTGGAAGTTTGATCTTCCAAGAGTATATCACATATATTTGGGGTTCTTGGCTAAAAGGCACAATTTATTTAGGATAATGTTTGTTATGGAGTAACTCCAATCCTTTTTTTGTAGATGGCAAGTTTCTGCCTTAAAAAAAAATGTGCTAGCCGGATTCTTAAAAGCTGGTGCAAGAATCTGACAAACATCAAGTTTGTTCGTTGAGGAGTATACAGTATAGCAGTGGCATTTGTTAGTCGAACCTATACATCTTTTGATGTACTTCAGACACATTGCGGTAAGTACCATGGTGTTAGTTGTACAGTACCTGTACAATGTATGTCAATTTGAATCAGGAGAAAAACTTTTTTGAGAAGTGTTTTGCTGACCTGGAGCTATTTTCTGGCCAAATTTTAGGAAGTTTGTGTGCAGCAAGCTCAGGATTAAAAACGTTTTTCTAATTTTCCATGCCTGAGTTATAGTGCGTATTAATTCTATACCTGCATTGGTGATTTCAGCCACAATTACTTGTCAACCCATCTAACTGTTTGATGTATCCAGCAGCAGTTGGACCCAGCTCTCATGAGTTAAATTTGAGGGGCCAACAAAAATTCATGTTAGAGATGAGGCGGTTCTGCAGATTCAGGGAAAATAATAAGGCTCATAGTGCTACAGTCTATACTGTATTATACAGAAACATAATGGACTTAATTGGGGAGCTTTTGGCTTAGGGAAGTTACACTTGATGAGGTACAGTATATTTAACTGTGAGTAAAATATTTTTATGCATGATATACCAGGTCTTCAGGATGCTGACGCAGTTGCTGTGCATAATTGAGTAGACCTCTGATGTGAAAAAAATATCAGGACAAATTCTCTTCTTTCATACTACTGTATACTGCAAAAATGGTTCAATGTTAGACACATTCCCAACTGATTTTAAAACTGGCAAATAAATGTTTTGGAACGATCTGCTGAACATCATTGCATTTTGTTTGCCAGTATAGTGCGCTAAAGTGGGACCTCAAATTGCAGTACTCTACAAAGTTTCTATGGGTACCCTACAGCTGGATTAGGGATCATGTAATGGTGGAAAACGAAAATAAGTGGCCAAGTATTGAAAATGGTTGGCGCGCGCATGGTGGGGAGAAGGTCATCATCCCAACCGGTTTTTACCCCCAGCGCAGAGCTGGTGATGTATCAGCCTTCCACCACTTCCCGGTGGCGTCAGGGATGGTTTGTCACACTCATAAAGAACTTTAAAAACGCAGTTTGGCTTTTAAAATTATTTGTTTCTAAATTTAAAATATATTTTGAATTTTTAAAGATTGTTTAAAGACATTAAAAACCCTTTAGAATTGGTTTTATCTGTATTCAGAGAGTGAACATCTCATGAATGCTTGGTTAGAGAACTCGCAGCTGATTCCTGAATTCGTTTTGGCGCCAAGGTTGCCGCTTTGTCATTACCCTCCCTCTCATGAGCGCATGGACCCGCGCGAAAATGGGAAGCGCGCGGAATTCAGTGAACTCTCGAGTTCAACCGCGAAAGTCTATGCCGCTTTCTTCAGTGTTTTCTTTCTTTCTGTGTCCGTTGAAGTGGATTTTAGAACTAGAAAACTGGGCCTTTTCTGGTTTGTTGTCCTACAAGTAGCTGAATTGTTCACCTGGAATATCTTGGTCATCTAATAATACCAATGGCTTAATTTACCTCCGATGGAGGACGTACCGGGGCATTTAGCACCTATTTTGTTATTTCCACGAAGTGCCACGTCCGATTTCATCGTCATTTCGTCGAGTGCGTCTATTTTCTTGTTCCTGACGTGTTTCATTCAATTTTTTGGAAACTTCTGGAACACATTTATCTCGCCATGTTTGAGAAGCCCTGGCCTAGAATGTTATTAGATGTATCCGTCTGTTGTAAGAAGTGCTCTATTGTGTAAAATGCATTCCGAAGGATTTTAAGTTGATTGATAGTTTAATTTTGACTTCTGATCGTAGAATGCCACGAGCTTCAATCCGGCATCGGCCGACACGACTAAAAGAACAGAATGCCGGCTCGGATTGTCGCCGGGAAAGTGATCCGAATACTTCAGATATCCGTAAATATGTATCTTCCGTATCGCGGGACTCTGTTCCAGTGGAACGTGAAAACTCAGCCTTGGGTTCGTGCACGGAGAAACGTCCCCGGACTTATTCCGGAGATAAGATGGTTCGTTCATTTTTCGAAAGCAATCGCATGTCTTTATACTCGGGTTTTAACATTTTCACCTACAGGCTAATGAGTCAAAGCGGATGAAGAGCGATGGTCATCGAGACAAGACATCTCAGGACTCCGGTTACATCTCGGAAATGTCCACGATTTCTTGCGCAGAGCTCTCAACATCGTGTCACACGTCCTCTCTTACTACTTCCCCTTCTCATGCCTCTTCTCACGCTTCGGAGCATGAAGACGAAGACAATGAATGGAATCTGTGAGTTTTTCATTCGCTATGTTCCGAGACAAACGAGTATCATGTATTTCGCTCCGTTAGTTTGAAAGACAGCGACCGGGTCTCCCAAATAGCTATCGAAATGTTCTCCTCCTTCGGATGGGGAGACTGTGAACAAGTCACTAGGTTCATCTCACAGAAAGAAGAAAAGTACAAGCTCTTGCGGGATCCGAACATGATGGAGTACCACGACGAACTCGAGCCGTACATGAGGGCTATTCTTCTTGACTGGATGATCGAGGTACGGTAGTATCCGATTTCTTGACGTGTAAAATGAATATTCTTGATTTTAACAGTGGACTTCAGTTTAAAACGAGGGGGTTTCCCAATCGTCAGCTACTCCGTCTGACGATTGGAGGGAACTTTCGGGGAATCGCGCTGTTTATCCCCCGAAATACTGCATTCCCCGAGGAATTTCGACGAATTATACGTACACCTTGTTTTTAATCTGTTCGTGGATTGGTTTCAGGTCTGTGAAGCCCATCGCCTTCATAGAGAAACGTATCATCTGGCAGCGGATTATTTGGACCGATTTTTGTCAGCTTCTCGAGACGTGCCAAAGAGCCAGTTGCAGCTTTCTGGAGCGACTGCTTTGTTCATTGCTGCCAAACTTGAGGAAGTCATGCCTCCTCGGGCCCAGGATTTTGCGTACGTTACTGACGGAGCTTGCACTGAGGACGAAATCCTTCTCCATGAACGCACAATGACTCTGGTAAGTCGATAATTCTCATCGAAGAAGAGGTACGCTCATAGTATTCGAATAACCGAAGTGATTTTGGCAAAAGTGTTTCTGTGTCAATGTTGAAAATACTGTTGAACTTCGGGAACTCGAACCTCCCTAAGTAGAATTTTTGTCAAGGTCTGGTTCGAATTTCGTTAAGAACAATGCATTATAAAAGCCCCGTAACTCGAAGGCTCTCCTCCACAAACCCCCATTAATCGAATTCCTTGAAGGTCTGTTGGCTGTTATTTTATTGAGACAGAGAAGAGAAAGGACAGAGAAGATGAAAATGTTACTTGATGTGTTTTGGAAATAAGTAGAATAATTGAGCAAATGAACCGTTGCCTCCAATTTCAACTCATTTGAGGTGCAATTTAAGACCCAGGATATCACCAATCACAATTTCCTGTAGTTGTCCTTTCTTTCCCCGAAAAAAATGTTTTTTTCACCAACTCGAAGAGATTCGATTGTTCAAGTTTAACGCCCAATCTTTAATGGATTATTTTCGATTCGTTGTTGAAAAAAGAGTATACGGTAATATAGTTTTTGCTATTTTTCTTTTCAGGAACTGGGCTTCCATTTGTACCCTTAGACTGCGAATACTTGGTAGGACCTGTTCTTGCAAATCGGCACAGGCAGAAAAGGAAAAGTGGAGGAATTGCCCACGATTCCGAACGCTTTGCCTTCAGATATTGTTGAGCTGAGTCGCTTGATCGAGTTTTCGCTCATGGATCTTCGATGTCATCAGTTCTCCTATCGTCAAGTCGCAGCCAGCGCCATTTACTTGACGAAAAACGCTGAAATGGCCATTCGTGTTTCAGGTACTTTTTAAATCTTTTTATTTTCTGGAAATATATGGAAAATTAGAAGTACTGTACAGTATTCGTAAACTTGAAAATTTACAAGTGAGTGTGAGAGGATATAAAAATTCAGGTACAGTACTGTACAGTACATGGTTTGAAAAGAAGACAGATTGTCCATCGTTTAACCCAAAATATTTTTTTATGCGAATTTTTTATATACAGTACAGTACCTGTGATTCTCTTTTTAAAATGTTTCCTTTTTGCATTTTTATTTCAGCATCACAAGAGTGTGAATCGCTTTTTCGAATTTGCCTTTCCTGCATTACTGGCATAGCTGCTTTTTTTTTCCTTTGGACTCGCTGAAAAGTTTATCTGACGTTTTGAGACTCATTTTTATTTTTGTGCGCTTGAAATATTTCATCGTCGTTTAATTACCAGGTTTGAAATACGAGGATCTCAGGGAATGCATCACGTTCATGGAGCCTTTCTTCGATGTGATTCTTCAAAACGGGCCTGCGAAGTGCCACTTCTTCGAAAATTATCCCCGCAAAACGGCCTATGTCCTGCAGACAAAGAACACCAATTACAACATGGTGGTGAGTTCTTCGTCTTCATTTTTCAAATTTTTTCCCTGTGTGTCTAGGGAATTTTTCTTCAGCATGATACATTTATAATAAGTAGTCATCAAGTCTGTTGTCTTTATCTGACACTTTGTAAATACAATGGCAGTTGAAATTATGTGGTTAAAAACAAAAGTTGTCTTATCTACTCAGACTTCAGACTAATTTTCACGTGCTGAAGTGAAATTGTTTTAATTTTTAATTCTGAGAAACCCTTTTTCAAGCCCACCTTTCTAATTTTTTGAAGACATTTCACTTCATTCGTTTCAAACATTCTATGGAAATTTGTTGGTCTGCGAGCCGGAAAAGGTTGGGAACACTGTTGTATTGTAAAGTAATGTACCGGTATTGATTTTTCAAGGACGCGGTGTGGAAGTCGTTGGCTGCCCAAGGTTTCAAGAACTTCGGATACAAGTCTGATACGAAGAAACGAGCTGCAGTCCGTTGAGGCTTCGACGTGAATAGGACGACATAATTTCAGGTCATGATTTGTAGCCTCGGAAATATTTTTTTTATATGCTCTCTGTGTGACTTGAATTTTGTACTTATTTAAATGTGTACATGCGTGACTCGTTCAACGATTTTCGTGGCATGATTTTTTTTCCAGCGTCTGAGCTCTTTGTAATTGCCGCAGAAAAGCAAAGTGATTTAATCGACTTACGTGATACATTGTTCAAAGAAGGCTCAATTTGCGGTAAAAGCTCGGTAGAGAAGGTTTTGATCCTTGCTGGCATTTTGAGTTCGTTCTCAGGTTCGAATGTAAAATGATGATGTCGTCTAGTCTCGCGCTGCTGACCGACCAGAAGTTTATTGCTGGAACCGGGGGGTTGCGAAAAGAAAAATTTAGAAAAGAAAAATGGATCGTATTTTGATGTGAGGAGCCGAAGGACTCGAAGTTCCAGGTGTTCGGACGTGTGCATACCTTGTAACTTTTTTTTCCGAGTTGGGTGTGACTCCAAAGGCTGTTTTTTTTTTTGTCTTACTTCGCTGTCGTCGTAACTGACTGGTATACTATTGAAAAGGAGGAGAAGGCGTCTCCGAGGTTTTTATTGAGTTGGACTTCAGAATGTAGATGATGCGTTTCTTGGCCGACATTTTTTTTCCTACTCGTTTTGTGGATCAGCTGAATAAAAGATGTCCCAAGTATCTTCAGTCATGTACGTGTGTCTTGTTTCCATTATGGACTATTTCTCCTGCCGCGATGAATTTACCTATAAAGTGAAACATTCCATTGGTTGGTCTTGAAGGTTTATTTCCCAATTTTGAGGAGATATTCCCTAGAATAAATTCTTTATGGTCTCTTATTGGATTTGGTTGTAGAGTGAGTCCACCTGTATTGCGGCGTAATTATGCTGATTCTCAGTGAGATTTCAGAGGAGATATATTGCATGGAGCCTCTTCAAGTCAAAATCACACAGAACCAGGAACAAATTCAAGATGTATGAGTGTCTCAACAATTTGACCAATCCACAATTTGATGCAAGCTTGACAATGGATTAGGGTTAAATTCCAAGGTATCACCTGCACTGTGTTTCATTTCCAAACCAGTTAATTCACACTAATGTCTTAATGACTGTAAATGGAAAGAACAGTGAACCCTTACTTATTGAGAAACTTCATTGGTTCCATCAGACAAGACTCAAAAGAGTTTTATTTTCTTGATTGCATTATCTCTGCTTATAGACTGCATGGAATGGGGAAGAAGGTACAATTCATTCTTTGAACTCAAAAGACAATTGAGCATTGAATAAAGAAGAATCCATTGAGAACATCAACCATAAATACATTAAATTGTTTCTGAATCTTGTTGTATCTGGACAGAACGCTTTTACAGTGGTACCTTGTACTTATTTACAAATTGATATTATTGTTCCATGCAGAGCCTTGCTGCTTTGATTTTTGAAACATGCGTTCATCACAAAATATATGTCACTTGTATATTACAGATGACTGCACTGCAGAACAGCGAGATTTTTTTCTTTCTTGATTTCAAATCGTGTCAAGGAAACATATTTCAACACACCTGACCTGTTCATTCCTCTTCTTATTCCCCCTCTTTCATTCAGTTCAGAGAAATCATGCCATCAGTGAAATTCAGTTCACTGCGCATTTCCATCGAATGCTTCGTATAGGTATCCAACATTTTTCCTTGGTTTTTTGTTGTTGTTGAGTGACCTGAAAACTTTTTAGGAACACATATGATACGTGCGCTAGCTGCTGTTGTGTTAGAACATCCGTTAGCTTTTGAATTTGGTTGTTCAAAAACTCAGCTCCGCATATTTTTCTCCTTGATTCGGAATCAAAGTCAGTGTGAAATGTTGATAATTTGGTAGTCGGAAGATCGGGCCCAAGTATTTTCCGGCCCGATTAGGCTGCGTCTTAATCCCCTTTGTGATTCCCGTCGGCGGGTCAACAGGTAAGCTGTGACTAAACAGCTTACCCCTCTTGTCATTTGTCAAATTTTGTCCATGCATTTTTGAATAAGAGAGAAATTTTGAAACCCTCCAATTTTTTAAAATTGTGTTTCCTCTAAAAAAACATGAAGAGAATGATACCAAATAACTTAGTTTCAAGAATATTTTTACAGTATTAAAAAAAATAAGAAGGCAAGCTATTGGAACTTCAAAAAATAAAAAATAAAGTGCAGCTGTAGCTATAGGACTCTGGCCTTAACAATGAATATTTCAATGATTCAATGAATGTTCATTACTTTTTTATGTTTATTTGTTTGACACTGTACATTATGATTGTCTGGACAAAAGAGAAAAAATAAATACTGTTTTTATGTGACTTGAAGGTTACCCATTTAATTACTGCTCACTGATGAGAAACACTGATTAAAATAGCACTGATTAAATTTATAAAATGCCCAATCAATGTTAAGGCCAAAGTGCATTTTTTTTTCTTTTTTGAAGTTCCAATAGCATGCCTTCTTATTTTTTTTAAATAAAAATATTCTTGAAACTAGGTTATTTGGTATCATTCTCTTCATGCTTTTCAGAGGAAAAACAATTTTTAAAAATTGGAGAGTTTTAAATTTCTCTCTCATTCCAAAATGCAGGGACAAAACGTGACAAATGACAAAAGGGGAAAGCTGTTTGGTCACAGCCTACCTGTTGACCCGCCCACGGGAATCACAAAGGGGATTAAGACGCAGCCTAATCGGGCCCGAAAATACTTGGGCCCGATCTTCCGTACCCCGATAATTTCTGCACATCATACCCGCATTAACTTTGGCGCCCCAATAAGTTGACTGAAATAATTACTATGCATATTTCTTGGAATCATGTCACCCTGACCTATATAGGACCACATTTCGATAACATATATATGAAGACATCAATATAATACTAATCTTGATCAGCTCTGGAACATTTTTTTATCCAGTGCAAAACTTATACGTGGGAACAACTGAGAACCTTGCGCTCTAATTTGAGCTTGTTAATTGCCTTGTGCTGTGATTATTATTATTACTGATATATTTTCTTATTGTCTTGTGAAGAAAGGCAAACCATGCATTTGCAGGGTGTGATGCATAATTTCCTTTCAACATCTGTTGGAAATTATAGAAATAGTAAATATACATTAACAAAATGGAAGAATATTAACTCAAAGAATATTGAGTCAATAGACCATTGAGAAAAGTCTGATCCATCAGGAATTTCAAGAGACTGAGCTTGACCTTGAGTTCCCACAAGGGTTTTCCTGCATCCTTGGGGATTTCCTGGGATAAATCAGTCCTCAGGGATAACATTTTTGGGAAACCGTCACTATCCCCGCGCGACGAAAGCCCGGGACACGAAATCCCCGCCATACCCGCGCACAGCTCTAACAAAAGCCCCGCCCGACCTTTTTTTCAGGACTGGTAGTCAGTTTGGTAGTCGCCGCTGGTTAAACTTCATTACTTTGCTACTGATTGATAGGGAAGTACACGAGCTCTTGAAGCAAAACAATGATTTAAAAAAAAAATGGAAACAAAACAAATAACAAAAGATTACAAAAAAATTCAAAAAAAGGAAAAAAACGGGGAAAAGTTTTCATTTACAAAAAATTAAGAGTCTTTGAAATATTTTTCAAGAAATCTGAACGTTCAATAAGTTGGCTTTGATAATCTTTGCACAATTGATGCAGTTTTTTCTGGCAATCTCTCTCAAAAGTCGACACTTGCTTATGTGGAATCACACCATCTTTGTCAAATTTCTTCAGCGTTGTAGCAACTGATGCAGCGTCTTGCTTCAGGTAGCAAATGAGTAACCAAAAGGTGGGATTTTTCCATTTTTGGGACCGTCAAGTCAAGTGCCCAGAAAAATTGCCCCAGTTGTTTTCACCAGACAACCCCCAACATTTCCTCCACAGAAGTGGAACATTCATCAGGCTGTGCTCAATGATCTTGGCGCAACTAACAATTTCAGTGAAGCTTGGAATNTTTTGTTTCTTTTTTTCAAATTTTACGTTTTTTCATTTTTACGTTATTTTAATTGTTACTCAATTATACTTGTTAAATTCAATTTTCGTCACTCAGAAATAAGAAAAACAATTGTCCAACCATCAGTTTTTTATTTTTGGGGGAAATTGTACATGGGGGATTTTTATTATGGGGGATTTCAACAAAAAGCTGGGAAATTAAAATTGGGGGAAAAAACACTCGGGGATTTTTAAAATTGGGCATTTTAATTTCGGGAATTTTTGTGACCAGGGATTTTAAAATCGGGGATTATTATTTGGGGGAAATAGAGGCGGGGGAATTAGAATTGGGGGAATTGTCCTACACCCCCTTACACTAGGGTGTTGAGCACCCAAGCCATAGCCTGGGCAATTATTGTTTTCTTCATTTCACCATTGATTCAATCTTACAATTCCAAACATCAATATCCATGGAAGAATTGGATTCTTCTTTTTGTCCTGATACTGAATGTTTTTGGATGATGTATAAGGGGATAGAGGAGGGGTTGGATGATGGGCAAAGAAAATTGTTGAACCCTGTGGTGAATGTTGACTGGTACCCAACCAAAAGCCCCCCTGCCAAAAGCCCCAACTTTTTTTTTGTATGCAAGTTTAATAACAGTGTTTGGTGGCTCTGAGAAGGGCTGCTTGGTTTCATTAGTCCTCAAAATGACTGTTGAATAATCATCTTCAAATTGCCTTCTGCAGGCTCTTGCTCAGTGTCACTGATGCTCTCAATGTAATTTTCTTCTCAATGTGGCCCTCTTATCTCATCTCATCCTTCTTCATTAGCACATTTCCAGCTCATATTGTACTGGCATTTGTGTTCTCAACGATGAATAAATAGCCATTGTAGTATGCCTTTTCACCATGCTTCTGATTTTTGATGATCTGAAGTGCACCAGCCATTGGATCAACAAGGTGAACTGTAGGTTTTGCAAAAATCAGCGCAAGTGATGATGCGACATTCAAGGAATCACTGATGACCTCTGCAGATGGGGAATCCCTTTATATACTCAACTTACAAACATATTGGTACTTGGCCTTGTGCTTCCTTGTGCTGGGCCTGCTGGTGAAAGGTGCAGCTTACCATCAAGAGTTGCAAGGACATAAGACCTGTATAATCCCAAATTTGTGTACCAAGGGGAGCTTTTGATATAGGGGGCTTTTGGCAGGGGGGGGGGGGGGCTTTTGGACTACACCCATGTTGACCAAGTGGCAAGCAAAGCCATGACGCAATGTTATGGTACAACTTCCACTCAACACCGCTCCATTCAACGCTACCTCTTCCACGTCACCCCTATAGGAGCGCCAGCCTCTCATTGAGTGACTTCAACTGCAATGCTTTGGTTGTGTAAAATGTAAATGGAGATTCCAAAGGACAAATAACGTAGTACACATATAAAAACACCTTTTTCAAATAAATAAAAATGTATGGTACTTTCCTGTTATCTCTGTATCTCATTCCTAGACCACACTACCATCCAGACAAATCTCTAGGACAAGTTATTTGCACAAATCAGTGGTATAGTGATGACCACTTTGAATGCATTAACCATTTGTGGCCCTAACTGAATACTACTCATAAAATAACATAAGAAAAATACAGAATAAAAGAATAAAACAATACAAATGCTGCAAGTTCATACATTGAATAGTATGTTATCTTTCTACACCAAGGGCCAGATTAAGGTGGGTGCTATTGATGCTGCAGCACTAGGCCCACAGGAAAAATAGGCCCCTGGAGAATTTGAAAAAAATTTTCAATTTGGAAAATCCAAATTTTT